ATGTATAATAAACAAGAACGTGAGCAGAAATCAGTTTCCTTTACTGTGGATATGAGTACAGGTGTGTGGCCTCTGACCTCGTGACAGCCACTTCAGCAGGGAGAAATTCAAGTTGCTCCAAATCAGATATTCATCAAGATGGGCTGCATGCGCCTCTGGCTCTGCATCACACCCTTGGACATGGCACCCATTTCCTGCCCACGGTCCTTCCAGCGCCACAGGAACCCACAACTGCCTGTGGTCTCCAGCTCTCACGGGAGCAGTTTGTAAATCATACCATGCCACATACAGGAGGAATGAGTCGCAGCCCCGGCAGGTTAGGAATGGAGGGATCTCCCCAGGCCTCAAGGCTGACCAGAAACCCTCTTGACTGCTGGTAGCTCACAGAAGTACTAAAATGTGGCAGGCACAATGGACAAACCTGCTACTGGCCTCTGAGGGTTGACGTTATGTTGGCTCCACTGCCATGGGTGGTACTTTGGGCACACTCAGCCAGCTCATGATCCTGCCACAGCAGAGACCTTGAGGCAATGGGAACCTGAGGTTGGTGAAGAGTCCTGCCTCAGAGGCCATTTCACACTCTCAACAAGCACAAAGGGCAGCAGCCCTCCCAAGAAACTTACTCCAGGAACCTGCTCACAGCTACACAGACAGAGCAGACACAGAACACTCATCATCCAGAGGGCAAAGTCCAGGGCTGTGGAGATGGCTCGATTGGTAAGTGTTTGCTTTGCAAGCATGGGGACCCAAGTAGAACCCAAGAATCCATATAAAAAAGCCAGATGGAATGGTTCGTGTTTGAAACCCCAGAGCTGGAGAGGCTGAGAGAAGATCTCCAGAACTCACTACCAAGTAAGTCAAGCCTACTTGGTAAGTTCCAGGCAAACAAGAGACTGTGTCTCATAGACAAGGGCTCACAGGATGAGGGCACTTCAATGCCAAGCCCGACAATCTTTGTTGGTCCTACATGAAGGAGGGAGAGAACGAATTCCTACAAGTTGTCCTCTGATTTCCACTACATACATGCATGCACGCATGCACGCACACGTCTAGGCCTACTAAAACATTTGAAGGGCCCTAAAACAGGATGCTGCCAAGACAATTACATGTCCTCTGCAGGTACCATATAACAAAGATGGGACTAGTCACCAAAGGCCCAGCAAGTCACCTCTTTCTAGTGACCAGTCCCCTGGGGACTTTGGGGATCAAACAGGAAAAACAGAAGGTTTTCTTTCATTAAAAAAATTAAAATCTTGCTTACATTCTATAAATATGACTTTGCAACTATGGTGTAGAATATTAGTGTACACTGGAAATAGCATGCCTCAAATAGGAAAATGGTTTGTGTTCACCAAGTGCCAGAAGCCAATTTTCAATTGCTTAAAATAGTCATGATATTTTACCAAGGTAATTATACTCTTAGCTATCAGTAACAATTAACTCCTTAGACTGGAGCCGCTTAATAAAGGTCTCGAGACAAAATTGCGCATGCCAAGCACTATAAACCGAAATGTGAAGCAGGCAAAGAGGCCCCTTGGAGGGGATGCCAAGGCAGAGTGCCATAGCTGGTTCCAGGGCCCTGCAGACTCACATCCTCTCCTCAGAGGGGTGGGCTGGAGGGACACAGAGGCACAGTCAGGCAGAGGTGAGCAGTCCTAGAGACTGAGGCTGAACTGTAGCTTTCACAGGGACAGTGAAGAGTAGACACTCCCTCACCACAGGTCAGACAGGCTGGAGTCCAACATAGCCTAGCCAGGCCAGGCTCTTAGAAGGCAGATACCAGCAGGAGACATTATACTACGCCTGTGAAATCACGTGACAAAACCCTTGGTGCCTCACCAGATCAGCCTAATGAATAGCTTCATCTTGTAAGCTAGCTAGCAAGTCAAATTCCTGTATCCCAGGGCAAGGAAGGCAATGGGTATCAATCCACTGAATCTATCTCGGAGGGACAGCTGGTATAGATAATCAGTCAGTGTTGGGTAATCAATAGCCACCTTTCCACTCACTCAGAGTGAGGCCAGCAGTACAGCACGGGTCAGAATGAGGCCAGTTTGAACCGGAGAGCCATCAGCTTTCCATCTTCAGAGAGGACAGTAGAAATTTCGTGACGTGGGAACGCCTGGTGGAAACATCAAGGACAGAGGCACCCATATATAGGATACCAAGCACAAGCCTCACGGGATCTATTCAGGAAACCATGGGAGCTCAACAGAGGCCACAGTGCATCAGCACCATTGCCAGCAATCCTCACTGTCGCCCAAGTCCCAAGCCTGAAATGAAGCCCAGCTACCAAGTTCACAGCAGCTCTACTGCACGGCATGGGCCAAAATAGCCATGGGATAAACCCAACCAACAAAAAATATCCCAACCATGTGGATGTACACATGTGGGAATGCTACAGAACCCAGCCCACAAATATACCCAGATCACGTGGACATACACAAGTGGGAACACTACAGAACCCAGCCCACAGATATACCTGGACCACGAGGACATACACAAGTGGGAATGCTACAGGACCCAGCCCACATATATACCTGGAACATGTAGGTGTGCATATTTTAACACTATGGACACACACCCAGATCAGACCACTGACTTATCCAGAAAGCAGACTGCTGTGGCCCCCCAGAGTGATTTCTCCAAGGAGCCAGAAGACTGTGACAGATGGACAAACTTGGGAAATCCAGACACTGGGAGCTTCTCTACCAGGCTGGCTGGTATGGGCAAGGCAGGCTGGAAGCATGGAACAGGTATGTGCTGTCTCCCCCACTAGACAATTCAGAGGCAACTTCATCTCCTGGGCCTGCACTGCAGAGCTTCCCTGGGCAGGGACCTCACTGCTGAGTTTGCAGGATGCTTAGAGGGCTGTTGCACTAGTGCCTGTGTGGAACTCCACAGTGCACTGGAAGGAGCTCAGGACCATCCCACTGAGCTGACTCTTGCAGACTCTTCTGATTCTTCTCAGATCACAGGGAACAGTTAGGCTCTCAGACTGACCACTCTTTCTTCATCACACACTAAGTCTGGAAGTTCTGGGTCATAGAACACAAGCCTGTCTTCCACTAAGAAAGTCTACCAAGCCAATCCCCTCCCTGCCCAACTCTGAGATTTCCCACAGCCAGCTCTGTCTTCTGACGCTGCCAGCACAGGCACAGCCTGTGAAGAGCTGCCCACGGGCCAGACCAGAGCATGCACCACCTTCTGTCTCTGTGTATCTACATGTTGGCATCAACAGCGGCTCTGTGACAGCCTTCTTCCCTGAACTATGGCTCTGTGGAGATGGGGCCAGCTCTCCTCACATGCTCTGGTAAACAGTAAATCCTCTGGGTCTTTGCTTAAGCCTCACCTCCGACAGCTCCTCCCATGTCAGTGGGCACAGCAGTGTTTGTCTTTGTCACGGCTGGTAAGCGTGTGGCTGAGTGCTCTGCCTCTTTCCCACTGCACTGTCAAGCCTGAGGGCCGTGACCACATATTCCCATCACAGGAGCTTCACTCTGACAGGCGCTGGGCAGGAAAGGATGATGTTAAGGCCCAGAAGAGGAACCATGCCAACACAATGACCATCTTCTCGGCCAAGAAGCAATGCTGGGACACTCTAGCAACCTCTCTTCCCGGGCCACCTGCAGGGACCCTGGGACCTAAAAGGAGGGCTCAGCCTTTAACCAACCCCGGGAAGAAGTGTTTGAGGTCAACACAAATGACAGACCTCCCTTTCTGAGACACTGGGGGATTGGCACAGGGCTGTCAGGGGTAGCTGGGAAACTGCGGTGGGAAGCAGGAGAATGGCTTGCTTTGTAGCAACATCCTCACCTAGAGATACCACTAGCAAAGAGTCAGGTTTCAAATGACAACACCAAGCGCAGACCTGGTTACACACACCCAGATTTTCTGGGTGTACCAACTTCTTAAGCCTCATGCCCACATCCCATCAGGGTGAGCGTGGACCTCCACCCAGCAAGCTGGACTCCCTATTCTTATGTACCCAGGGACAGATCCCGTTTGTACTTCCTTGTGCTCTGAACGCCCAGAATCCATTAGATGCTCTAAATAACATTCATTAGGAATTTCCATTCACAATCGAAGACCTCAGTGTACCATGCAAGCATCAGACAGGCTTTGGGCAGGGGTTGGAGAGGTGGCTCAGAGGTGAAGAGCACTGGTTCCTCTTCTGGAGGGCCTGAGTTCAGTTTCTGGCAACCGCATGGTGGCTCACAACCATTTAGAATGAGATCTGGTACCCTCTTCTGGTGTGCAGGCATACATAAATCTTTAAATCCATTAAAAAAAAAAAAAAAAAAAAAAAGGAAGAGAGCAAGAGAGCAAACAAGCCAGACTGCCTTTGGGCCAGAAGTCTGAGAGAGACTGGGGACTAGGGAGAGCATGTCGCAGCATTTGCCTTGTCACCTGGAGACAGAAAACCATCCTCATGCCATGCCAGGATGAAGCCTACTCCAGCATCCAATGTTTGTGCAGGCAGCAAAGGACAGGAAGGCAGGTTGGCGACCATTAAGGAGGCCACCTTACAGAAACCCTCCCCTAGGACGGTGCACCAGCCCAGGTCAGGGCACACAAGGAAAGTGAGTCCAGGAGACTGGTTTTGATCTTGCTGTTTTGAGAGGGTCAAGGAATAGGGGCCAGCTGGCCTTCAATTCACCACCTCCCTTCCTGCCTCAGTCTCCAAAATTCTAGAATTACGGTTATACGCTGCCACTCTGGGCTCTGAACTACTCTTTGTGCCATTCAAAAACTGTCCTTAAATTTGGACTAAGAGCACACATCCCAACTGAACTGTTCCGCTACAGCCTGCCACTGGGGAAGGCCAGCACTGTGTGTGGCCTGTGGTCTGACAAATGTGGAATACCTGCTGGAGGTGTGAGGAATGGACTACAGGCAAGAACATGCAGCCTCACAGAGGGCTGGATAAAGACGGACAGCCAGAGCTAAAAGGTCAGGCGGAGGCGTGGTGGAACCTGGCCATGCTGGGTGAACTGTACCTTGGTCAACAGCACATTGCGCTTCTGAAGCCTTCGGGCCAGTGCCTCATGTGTCTCCCTCTTCTTCCTCTCCTCCAGCAGCTGTGCACTGACCTGCCGGACCTCATCCTGGAGCTGCTGCTGGGCCTTCTCCAGACTCCGGGCACTACACAGAAGACAAGAAGGTAGAGCCATGAGGCCTGACATGACCATCCCCCGGGACTGGAGACACATCCCCCACTGTGTATCCCACAGGGGTGTCCTAAAATAGAGCTGCACGTGCAAACACCTCGTTGTCGTTTCCTCGCTCCTGAATAGCTACTTAGTGCCTTTCAGGAGGTTCTGGATTTCAAAGACACCCAGGGTGATCCCAGAACACGGTGCGAGGGGAGGGAAGTGCAACTCCACACACAATGGGAAAGATTGTCAGCCACAGGCGCTTCAGGACGGCACTTCTGAATGAGCTAAATTGCCAGCGCAAGCACTTCCCATGTGAGTCACAGTCGGCACAGATGTGCAGCACAGGGAGGGTGCGGCGCACAGCCCCCGCAGCAGGCACTGGGCCTGAAGACTTTCTGAAGGAGAAAGTACTGCCTCACACTGGGTGCTAGGCATACCTTGTGAAGACAGATGCCAGGACACACTCGGGCAATGGTATCTGACTTTCTCTATTTTTCCATTCTCTATGCATGTATTTTTGCAGTACAGAAGATTGAAGCAGGAGCCTCAAGCATACTAAGCAAGACTTGTCACTGAGCCATGCTCTCGGTCCACAATGAAGAGTTGTAGGCAGGTGCTCTACTACTGAGCCACACCCCAGCCCCTCACTGGAGGATTCTAGGCAGGTACTCTACAACTGAGCCACACCCCAGCCCCTCATTCTAGGCAGGTGCTTCACCACTGAGCCACACCCCAGTCCCTCACTGGGGGATTCTAGGCAGGTGCTCCACCACTGAACTACATTCTCAGTCCTCTTTGTGTTTTCTACTCTAAGACAATAGCTAAGTTTCCAAAACTGATCTTGAGTTTGTAATCTCCTGCTTTAGTTTACAGAGAGTGCCACCAAGCCTGGCTTCCCTTTACAATATATGCTTTCCTATTGCATCCCTATGGCTGCCCTGGCCTGGTCACTGCTTCCCCTACATCATCACAGCCACACAACAGCCCTGTCTCTGCGAACTTCACAGGCCCAGGTCTCTGGATTGAGGCCTCTAAGTGCCGTGGTCCCTCCCAGAATGACCTCAAGCATCTTGGCAAAGACCCTCAGAAAGTTCCCTTGCTACTTTCTACCCCACCAGTCCCACAGCCACCCAGTGCAGCCGCTGTTGTCGCTGGTCCTTTAGAGGGCACAGAAAGCCCCAGAACAGCAAGGGCAAGAATCATTAAGTATCCAAATAGTGCCCCTCACATGTGCCCTGGGTTCCACCCCATCGTTATGACTATATCCTGAGAAGGACAAGGCCACAACAGAGAGATCCAGATCAGACGATAGGAGTGGTTGGGGGAGGACCGACCAACCTCACCATCCAAGACGGCACACTGCAGGCTGTATGCAACAATGGCAGTGTGTGTGTCCCATCAACAGCAGAGATCTCTTCCCAAACGGAATTCTGAAAACTTGTAAAAAATGGAATCTGGGAACTGGGAAGGTACCTCAGCTGACAGACACTTGCTTTGCAAACATGAGTTTAGATCGCCAGCAGCCACACAATGAGCTGGGCATGGCGGAACACATGTGTAAGCCCAGCGGTGCTAGGAAACAGGTGAGGTGGAGTCGGGCAGATAGATACTGCAATTTGCTGGCCAATCTTCTAAACTACTTGATCATGTCCCAGGACACGGAAGGACCCTGTCTCAAGCCAAAGGTGGGGGTGCCTGAGGACTGATACTGGAGGTTATCATCTGACCTCCATACATATGCGATGTCAGGCAGGCGGGCAATCTCTCTCTCTCTCTCTCTCTCTCTCTCTCTCTCTCTCTCTCTCCCTCCCCCTCCCTCTTTCCCTGATACATAAGCAGGGCAACAGGATTCTGTTATCATGTGACATCTGTGACACTCGTGCAAAATGTCCATGAACAGAACACTGCAGCTACTCTGAAAATGTACAAACTGGGGGTGGGGCCTGTAGGAGACACCTGCAACTCAGATCACTCTTGCCTCCAACAACTTTGGCTCACTTTGATTATGCTGTTTTAAGAAAACCCGAGCTCCTGAGGGCGGCAGATAGCGCTTCTGTCAGGTGGGCACCCGTAAATATGTATTTCACATCTGAGTGAATATAGGATTTTGTAAATTATAACTTAGTAAAATCATTTAAACAAGCTGAAGTGTAATTTGAAAGTGAATGAAAGTCAAACATTTATGAAACTTCAGCAGGGGCTTGTGACACCATTAGTCCTGCAAATGTCAAAGGGAACCCTGCTCTGGGCCACAAACACAACCACAGAAAACAGGGCCAACCGTGTGGCACCAAGGGCATTGGCTTGGCTTCGATGGTGCAATCTCAGGAAGCCTCGTGCTGTCCCCTAGCCCCACAGAGAAGCAGCCGGCTGCCACCTGCACCCTAGGTGCGTCACAACCCCAAATGTAAAGCAAGAGCTAATATTCATGGGAAACAGACGTATAAAGAGGCTATTTTGAGTTCCAGTTCAATTGAAAACTATTCATAGACCAATTTAATAATCAAGGACTGTGAAATCGACTCTTGAATCGTTGAATTCAGGTGGGGAGGTTCACAAGCGCCTTAAATCACTGCTCCAAAGTGGGTAATTTAATTAGAACGGCAGCATTCGCTCTGCTACTTAAGAGCCAAGCACACAAAGACAGACATATGGCAATGCAACTTTTCGGGTGACAGGGCACACACAGGCAGGGTGGGACCGGGGGCTTGTGACACTCGGATAAGATGTCCTCAGCATGGGGAGTCTTGCTGGAAGACTTCCAAATCCAAGGTTAAAATCTGGGAACAACATTCCCCTTGTAGCTACCCAGGGTCTTGCCCACACAGAACAGGTGCAAACAACCCCAAGGCCATGGGACTTTGCTGGGACTTTGAGGATCGAGGCTTGGTATAATGGAACCAGACAACAGGATTGAGCACCAGAAATATGTCTCAAGTCTGAGCCACTGCCAACCCCCACTCTCCAGCGAGGCTCTGCTACCTAAGAAGGCAGAGACACAGTTACACAATCGCAGCCCTATTCCTAGGTCACGACACCACACCCACTGCCTACTGGAGGCCATGGACAGAGATGTGTGCACCATGGCACCACGGGAGAGAGAAAGGTCTTAAGGATATAGAGAGACCTGGGTTGTAAAATTTCAGATTATAAAGAAAACTCTTGTCTCTCCCTCCCCACAGTACTCCTTCCCAAGAAGAAAAGATTCCCCTCAGGAATATTAGGTATCTATGTCAGGTCTGCCACTGATTTATAGCCCCAATCCACAACCCTCATTCACTCTCATATCCGCGTGCCCTGCACAAGGAGTGTCTATGCTCATCCGTGCAGACCACAGAGGTCCACATCAGGACGTCTTTCTCAATGATTCTCTACTTCATTCACCTTAGTTTTGGAGATGGGGTCTCTCGCTGAATCTGTGGCTCACCGTTTTGATCAGGCTAGCTAACAAATGGGTTAGAATCTGTCTGTCTCTGTCTAACCACTGTGCCCAGCAGCTCTATGTGGGCTCTGGGGACCCAAATTCAGGTCCTCGTGCTTGTATAATAGATGCTTTACTCAGTGAGCCATCCCCTCAATCCCTGTACTCTCCCTTAATAGCAAAACACATTTCATCTTCTGTGGGGATGTCAGAGGAATGCATGGTCCTACAGAAGATGCCCGGACAACAGGCAGGACTGCAGACCGCAGCAGGCCCTAAGGTCAGTTCCCAAGGCAGAACAGATTCCCAGGTCTCCTACAGGACAGGGCTACACTGTAAATTGCAATTCAGAGAGTGACAGAGAGAGGGCGCTCCAGAGCACCATTTGCAGAACTTCAATGAAGCCCTGAGCACAAAGATCAACAGGCTGGGATCCTCTTGGATCCACCCACAAACACCAGGTGCAGGGTTCTCTAACATAAGGTGCTGCTAAACAGACATAAATCACCGACCAGGTGACTGCAGGGGAAGGAAGAGCTCACACAAACCAAACAGGCAGCAGCAATGCCTTCTGAGACTGCAGGACGCGGGTGCCTGAGTGGAGAGAGAGCACTGGCAGGGGCTGGTGTTTGAGTACAGCAGACATCACAGACCTGATTCAGATGGTGTGCAGCAGGAAGGATGTGTGGAAGGGAGCAGATGGGGAGCCCTCGGGTAAGTCGGGCAGGCACAGGGCCCTGCATGCTCCTCCGGCACCTACCGCCAGATAACTAGGTGTCAGCTGGCAAGGCAAACATGGGGTGCAGGTCCACACACCACAGGGCTGAGCCACTGATGCGTAACTGGCAATGGCAGAGGACAAAACCAGTGAGGAAAGGAGTACTTTGGTTCATGGTGAGGTGGATGAGATGAAAATGCCTGCGGGCACAGGGGAGGGCAAATGTGGGGGACACCTGGGGCAGAGGGCAAACAGCTCTATTATCCAGGGTACACTCACACTGTGTGGAAATGGGAGAGGACTATGGGGCTCTTGGCCAGGAGGCAGTGAGGAACTGAAGAACAGGAGCAAGAAGAAAACCCCTCAAGAGGAAGGAAGGGAAGGACACAGAAGCCCTTCCACATGCTCCTTGTGCTAGAGGGGTGAGCGGAGGGCAGGATGGTCTCCGATGGGCAAGGGGCTAGAAATGCTGGGTTCAGCTTAGAAATGGGGAGCAGTGTGGAAGCAGAAGGATGTTCTTCCAGGAGCTGGGTCCATGGAGGTGACAAGTTGGCAAACTCCTGGGCAGGTCCCATGGGGAGGACACAGCCCAGCAGACAGACCAAGCCCAACAGTACAAGGCTGCAACACAATGTCCAACAGGCTCTGGACACTGCAGCCGGGCTCCTCAAGCCGTGCCTACCAGATGGCTCTAGACACCCAGGCATTCCAGAATACAAAGATGCGGAGCTTCTCAAGTTAACATGGACCTCAAGCTGGAAGGGGACCTCTGCCACTGTGCCCATGGGTTCTATGAGAGCCTCGACAGCTGGAAGAACTTGAGCAACCTCATCCCAGCACAGATCCC